GTTGTCAGAGTCGCCAAAGGGCCTGGTTGGCAGACCTTGTTCTGAGGGTCCTGGGCGGTGCCAAAGGTGGCTAAATGGTGGTGCCATGTTGCGCCCGTTGAAGTGGTTGATTTAGCTGGGGCTCCGGGCGACCCTGGATCTTGCCCGCCTTTGATCAAAATGCGGCCATGAATTTGGCATCCCAACTTTGGATGGCCTCGCTCTGCTTAGGATGCTTTCGAGGACGCCCTGGAGGACGTCGCATATGGGGAGAACGAGTCGGACGATGATATCTCCTTAGCAGACTTTGTGGACCCCATCCAGGACCAAGGGCCCCAGGGCCCTCTTGCTGTTGCCGCTTGCACATCTCCAAAGTCAATAGCCCCGTTTGTTCACCGGAGTAGTCTCGATGCATTTGCATACATTCTTTGACACAAATGCATACACAGTGTGTGTATGTACATAACCCCCGAAGCAGGCTCAAAATAAAGTAGGGGTGGGTCGGACCCGAAAATAAGTCATCTATTTTATTTTAGTCCACCCCCTTTTTCTATGCGAAATCATTTTGGCCGCTGTGAAAAACCCTTCAAAGTTGGACTGAACTCATTTCAAAATTGGACTCCCCTCGACTTTATGTTCATAGGAAATAAAATGAAATACGTTTTGTCCAAATCGGACTGTTCAAACCAACCCCCAACATGAGGTCAAAATAAATCGTGATTTTTCAATTGATTTGCTGTCATGTCAGTGTTGGACTATTTCATTTCATTTTATTTTCCAACACGGTTGGACTGACCCTATTTTATCTGATGGAATGGGGGGTCCAACCCTGTTTGGAACCTCTAACGGGGGTGTACATACATTCACATCTATATATAAATAGATACATTATGTGCAAAGCAACATCGGTATGTTGAGAACGCATGCAGACTGGCCTGAAACACGAAAGAACGCGACAGGACTTCAACGACTGGGGCTTCGACCCAGATGGTGCTGCCAAAGCTGCAGCATCGGCGCTCACAGTGAGCTGCCGCAGGGCCTGGGAGGTCAGCCGTGGGGCACAGGGCAAGAGACGGAGGGTTCGCTAGTTTGCGCGTTTGGGGCTTGTCAAAAGACACGAGTTATCATGAATTCATGAATTTGCATGCCTTTTTGGTTCCCTAAATATGGGCCACAATCCGCGCAGGTAGCTGAGGCAGGCTGCCTGTGGTGTTTGAGAATGATCCTCTTCTACATGTCTCCTTGCAGCAAGTTGTTGGCCGGCTTAGCCTGAGGGGAGCAAGTTGTCCAGTGGAACATGATATGATGGGAAGCAGAGAGACTCCCCGCCTTGCTGGTTCTATTTTGAATTGGTTGCGCTAGGCATGTTAGGCCAACAGTCCGCGGGTGGAGCAAGCAGTTGCGATACCAATCGAGCCTTGTGAGGTAGCGTGCGCTACACTTTTCCCAACATTGCTCCTGCAGACATGTTCTTTGCCTGTGGCAGTGTGGGACCATAGGTGAGGCACCGACGACATCATGCCTCAAGGCATAGGCATACGGATCACTCATGGAAGGACAGTTCCAAGTTCCACCAAGAGCCCCTGCTTGCGTCGTGTTGCGTGCCAATGGCCTGGCCTTTCGAGGGCGTCAAGATCCGAAGAACCCCTTCACAGGTGGCGAAGATGCCCCTGGGCCAGAGGGAGCTCTGGCAGTTCGGCCCGAACGGGCCTCCCATGAACGTCATGGACGTGTGCCAGGCCTCGAATATTCTTTGGATCGCCAACCAGCAGGAGCTGAGGGATACCAGGCCCAAACCTTGAACTCCCTCCCGATCGCGTTCACCTGGATTGGCTCTCTTCAAAGGCAGACCCAGGAAGGTGCCACAATTTGAAGCACAACACATTAACTATTGTGTTTGGATGACCTCTGGCCTGCAGATCTAGGTGGTGCTTGCTTTTGCCGGCAGAGTTTGAGCCCCGGTCAGCCTCCAGAATCTGGAGTGCCCACCGCACCCCACAAATCCTTGAAGGAGCTCTTCGGCTTTTCCCTCGATTGCCTGGAGGAGCCTTTGGCCCACTTGGCTTCTTGACCAGCATTATATTAAGATGTTTGAAGCATATTTGGCGCCAAGGGCGCCACATGTTGTTTGCCTGCAACACATGTTTTTCGTGAATCCAGCGAGTGCCGTTGAGTGAGGTGCTGAGCAGCCAGGCGAACCGCGTTCGCTGTGGACATTTAGGAGGCCCCGTGGTGGTGGCGGTGGACTCAGCCGGTGGCGTGCTGGTGGCCGCCTCAGCCCCAGCGGCGGGAGCGCCACCCTGCCTGAAGCTTCAGAACAAGGCGCTGCACAGCCCACTTGGCAGCTCCACCTGGGGCATCGGTCTGCCCAAAGGCGCCTTGGAAATGCGGGGAGGTTCTATGGCTTGATTCCTCATTTGCTCCAAGCGTCGTCCTTTACAGCGATTTCACAACCAAATGGTGTCCCTTGGTTTTGGGTGGTTTTCCAAAAAAGTCGGATCCCTGGAAGAACTTGGAGATCAACACCAGGGAGATGTCAAATCGGAGGTTGCTTTGTGGGTTGGGGCCTTCGTGGCTCGAATCATACACAGCCCGTTGCGTGATGCTTGTGCGATACGTCAAGGATTTCATGGTTTTGGTGATTTGTTGCTTGGGTATTGTACGCTTGGGGGTTCCACCTCGTTGCCTAGTCACCAGGTAAACGATGGATGAGCCTGTGGGCCCTTGGTCAACGTGCGCCATTCCTTCCCACTTGTCCTGCCCGTGTCACTTTCCTATTCCCCTCACCCCCCCGGCCCCTTTCGCCCCTCGTGTCCCGCGTGCGAAAGCGCATGGGAGGCGAAGACGGGCCACTGCTGGTGTCAGCCAACGACCACTGCGTGAAGAGCTGGTGGCTGCAGGTGCCGCAAGGCCCTGGCGGCTGGCAGGTGCTGCAGCCGAGGACATGAGGGCTGTGGAACGGCCTGCCCCAAGATGTTTTGTTAACACGAGCTTCCCTTCTGACAAGCAGGAAGACAAGCCAAGCCTTCATTCCTTAGCCACTTCCGGGCCCGTTTTTGGACCGAAGGGCAAGGTTCAACCTCAGGACAACAAGAAACCAGCAAAAACAAAGTACAAACAAAGTGCAGATCAAAGAATCTGAAGATGTGGATGATGTGGGAAAAACACGAACACATAGTGTATCTTGCGGGAAAAGACAATTCCTCGAGTTTTCCTAGATTTGTGTTTGTTCTGCCTTTGTTCTGTTTGTACGCAGTATTCCGGACAACGCTGCGTTGTTTAAGGTCTTGCAGGAATTCACTCATCAGGTCGTGCGCCAAAAGGAGTAGATGCATTGCCTTCATGGATTGCTAAAATATTTGCAGATTATTTCGCCTCGCTTGACGCATCCACCCGGGATTACCCGCGATTCGACAGGTGGTTGGCTTCACAGCTCACAACTACCCAAGTTCATGCCAGAAATCTTTAACCAATGTGAACAGCTACATTGAGCTGCGTACTCGTCGTTGTTTTTTCGCGGTTCACACCATGCGTTTTGCCATCCGGACCTCACTGGCAACAAAGTTTAAATCACTGAGCTGGACGCAGAGCAGCGCGTGCACCCTTTTGATCATGTCGTGGTGAGTACCGAACCTCGAGTCCTATCAAGATCGATGCTCATGAAACCACGGAAAAGATGAAGAGGAGAACAGAAAAAAAGCCAACCGCGGGGAAGCCCAAATTTGCTGGCCGAAGTTCCAGGAGGTGTCCGGAGCGGAAACGGCAAAACACATGATGTGAACAAAAGCTAAAACGGGAACAAGCGGGAACACAAACGCAATGCAACTTGTTCGGGAAGGTCCGGCAAGACGGAAAGTGCGCAAATCGCAAAGCAAACGTTGTGTAATGCGAACAATCGGACAAATGCAATTTCCCCGTTTTCCTGTCTTAACGGAAGCACCAGCTGCGTCAAGTGTAAAGCCCGGGCATCTCCAACCATTTGTAGAGAGCTCCCTTGCTAAAGGCAACACCCGTGAATAGAATCATGATGCTGAAGCTTGCTTACAGAGGCTCAGGCTTCCCCGAGCAGTTTACATGAGGTGGGTCAAAGCTTCCAGAACCCTATGGTTGACTTCCTTCCCCAATGTCGCACAAACGCCAGGGGCCTTGCTAATCTTCCCATGTGCACTGCAGCAACTGCATATTGTCAGCGCGTGTCATGGCCACGGTCGCAGGACTTGACCATCCTGCCTTGGGAACACGGCAAAGCCGGCTTATGAGCTATGAGCAACAGGTGTACGGAAAAGTAAGTTTGTCCTGCGTACCTTGTATGTTATTGTGCATATTTAGTATTTTTAGTTTGGACATTGATTATTTGATTGTTTGTTGATTAAGCCAGGCGTTCCTAGTTGTTCTTATTATTAATTTATCAATTAGTAGGTTTTGGATTATTTCAGGTCGTTCAGGATAAAACTCCTAGCTAATAATCGTTATTTACAACTGTTAAAAGCTAATACAGATAAACAGCTTAATAGTAAACATCGTTGTTAATGAACCAATGTCAAAATCAAAACAAGCTAACTAATATCAACAATCAACGAAGGCACTAGCTTCTAACATCAATCATACTAAAAGTCAGGTAATTGAGATGTTCATTAATACACACTTTAATTTAAGACTCATAATCACAAACACCTATGTGAAACAAGAACTTTTGTCAACCTACAATTAGACAGATCATCAAAACAAATAGAAGCATCATAATTTAACGTTCAATAAAAACAAGAAGGACTATAGAACAGAATCAGCTTGATGGTGGGCCGGGCACGGGGAGCAGGGCTTGGTGTGTGAAGGGCGCCTCCGAACGCCAGGAATGCGGCCAAAGATGCCAAAGCACCTTCGACCTTGAGGCTGGGTGCAGCGTAGCGCCCACAAGCGGTCCACTGAGAGAGCGTTGTGCTGCAAAGTTGCCGTTGTCGTGGTCTTTGTCATTGTTATCATGGACGGTTTTGCTGTTTCTGGTCCAGCTGCTTTTGCTGTTGCTGTGCCTGCTGCCGTGCTTTGGGCACCAGGAGCATTCTGAGTTGCAGTGCTGGTTTGAACTCTTCAATGAATCTTGATATCTGGGCCAAGCCTCGGCTAGCTCGAAGCAAAACGAAAACCAGCTTTGGCAAAACCTTAGTTCAGCATGGAACGTATGCCCACCTTACGGTAGCAGATCATGGACAACCGAGCCCACTGGTTCTATGCACGAGCCAGTTCTAGAAAAAGAACACTCATAGCGTTTGCTGAGATATGGAAAGCCAGCCCAGGCACTTTGCAGATAATTTGCCCTGCATCGACGTGGCCCACCGACGCGCCATTGTGGCCTGCTTGAGCGGGGAGGTCTCCGTGCTAGACCTGGCAGCGCGCCCAGAATCAGAAGTTCCCGTGCCCTGGCTTCCCAGTTCCGGCTTTTGAAGCTCAAAATGCTGTATGGCGTTGGACATGTGTCTTTACCTTTGAAGCAAAGGCAGGAACATCAACTGGTTTGCTGGAGGCTGTAGCCCTTTTTCCAAGATATACCAAGCGAACCCCACCTGGGGCTCACTTTGATATCGCCAAAAATGTGGGCTTTCCACAACCAACATACTTTGTGGAAGGTCTAAAGAGGTTCAACTTCAATTCCCAAGGGAGGAAGGCCGCTGTGGGTTGCCCAGGAGCCTCCAGTCATCGAGGCCCGGCCGGACCTTGGCCCCGCTGGGCCCCGGCGCCCGCCCCAGTGGCCCGCGCACGTGGCCGGCGTGGAGCCCTCCGTGCGGACCTTTGCGCCTGGGGCGCTGGAGCCCAGCAGGCGCGAGAGAGGGATGGCAATGGCGAGCGATGGCGACGGAGCGAGAAAAAATCATAGGCTCCACAGTTTGAGTCCAATGGCACGAGAGGGAGAGAGAGAGAGAGAGAGAAGAAAAAGGAATGGCAACCGCAACATCCAAATGAATGTGTTATACATATCGTGAAGATATCCATGCACATGTGGGTGCACAGACCTATACACGCATGTCGCTAAATGCATATCATATTTGTACATGTGTACATATCAAAAAGAACACGGATCAAGTATGTTATTTTCGCATAGTATATACATATATATATATATGTAATACCTGCATGCATCTATGCGGCAATATACACATGTCATACATATATTGCATTTTGTCCCGTCTCGTCACATCTCATCACATTATTTCACGTTTCGTTTCCTTACATTGCACAGACAGACGCACATACAGTATATGATCATAGACATGAGATTCATTCTATGCACTACGTGCATTGCACGCACGGCATGCCATTACACACATTTGTACACATTGTCATGCGTTGCAAGGCATGCATCACATACCCTACACCCCATACATGCCTTACATGCGCTGCGTTACATACACTGCATACAATACTTGCATTGCACACATTGCACGCATTGCATGCATTGCATGCAGTTCACACGCTACATTATGTTACGTTAAGTTACATTGCGGTACATATCACGCAGAAAGACACACATGCAGACGTGCATGCATGCATGCATGCATGCAGACACACACACACACGCACCAGACCAGACAGACCAGACGAGACCAGAGGGAGAGAGAGAGACAGCCAGCAGGCAGACAGACATGCAGAACAGACATGCCTACATGGAACACATTTCTACATACATACATACGTTATGTACGCTACATGACATTCAAACATACATACACACATACATACACATACATACAGACAGACAGACAGAAAGGCATACATACATACATACATACGTACGCACATACGTACATGCGTACATACGTACATACGTACATACGTACATACAGACAGACAGACATGCACACATACATACATGCGTACGTACATACTTACATACATACACATTACATCATACTACACTACACTGCACTACACTACCTTACATTACATTACATTACGTTACAGTACCTTACATTACATTACATTACATACATGCATACATATACACACACACACGCACACACATGTATGTAGGCGTGCATGGCATGCATATTCGGCATATTTCAGCGGTCCCCCTTCCCTGATTCCAGCCGGGGTTGCTCTCCTCCATTCAGCCAGAGCATCCTTTTGTTCGGGGCCGGGGCTACGTAGCATGTATAAGGGCGTGCTTCTGAATGTCGATTAGCAAGGGAATTTGAAGATTCACTGTTTGCTGTGCTTGCCGTGTGTGTGCGCCTGAGGAGGATCTGGAATGTGAGCTGGATACCGCTGCATGGCATCCAGACCGTCGAGCCACCCAGGGCAGGCCAGGCATTGCCAGGGTGAGGCTGACACTGGGGATCGTGGACCACACGGGAAGGGGAGGGAGACTTGTTGATTGTGGGCATTGATTTTGCGAGCAGGCGGCTAGATGAAGCACTTGTTGCCCTATTGGTGTTTGCTTGTCATAGTCCTGCCACGTTTTCTAGACTCATGGCAGTGGGCGAAAAGATAACTTTTTGCTGGAAGGCCCGCACGCACGCTGCCTGCGACGAAAGCACGCCAAGACGGACATGTCAGGCGAATGAGCTCATGTCACCCAAAAACAGGTCATGTACCATTGTTGGAAAGCAGAGTTGCGGCAGTGGGGATATTGTTGCATATCTAGCCAAAGAAGAAGCCATGAACTCCAAGGGCCAGATATGAAATGCATAGAGGTCAAAGCGGGCCAGTGGGCAAGCCGAAAACGGGAAAGCTTCCAGGCGGAGTCTTGGACCCGGTGGAGTGGACGGTGCGGAGCTGCGCTTTGCCGGCGGAGATCATTCGCCTGGTGCTGCCGCTGCTGGACCCGCAGGACGGACGGCATGGTGGCCTCCACTGGGCCTCCCGTGGGATGTGAACTGCGTCGCAGTGGGCATGAAAAGGGAACACATATGAACACATGAAGCCAGGGGAGCCATGCTATTGAGGCGGTCGGGAATTGGTTCGCGGCTGTTTGGATCTGCCAAGTCCGTTGCAAGGGCCCGCTTGCCGCTTGCGATTGGCAAAATAGCACAGGAGCCTTTCTGAGGGAAGCCAAGCGGGGATGCATCATGTGCAAATTGTAAGTGGTGTGCAGCTGATTCTAAACATCATTGACGTTGAAAATGATGGATGTCACTATCGTTTTCGCCTTGTAATTATTCCCTTTCCCAGCCCCTCACTGACTGCGAGAGGAGCTGCTGCAGCGCATCCAGTGCCTTAGCACCAAGCACGCGGACATGGCCCAGGAGCAAGTGCTTTGCGGCGCCTTTGGCGAGCGAGCCAGACAACGAGAGGGTCCCGAGCCGAGTGAACAGTTTGATTTCCAAATTACTTTCAAAAGGCGAGTTAAAAGGCGAGCTCGTTAATTTCTTCCTGTTGGGCGACCATTTGGAGGGTAGTTTTCAGGGTGTCACTGTACTGGACGACGAGAGTGGGAGAGAGAGAGAGAGAGATAGAGTCGGCTCACATGTTTACCTTTTCGTTTGGTGGGTTTGGGAGTCGCTGGGACATAGGGACGCCGGAAATTGGCGGGCTGGCGGCAAACCCCCAACCAAAGAGGGAGCCCCGAATTGTTTGTTGCACCCGGTCAAGGCAGTTTGACAACCCACTGACAACAAAATAAAATATGGCCTGAACGCAGGAAGGCAGCCAGCTCAAGGATACTATATGCATTGAAGGCCTGCTTGACAGCTGTTGGATTGGTGTTGCTTTCACATTTGATTGGCTGCCTCGCTGAAGGCAAGCGTACCGAACAGATGGCCATGATTCTCTCAGAGAATGCTGTTTGGCTTACGGACGCTCGGCAATATATGCGTGGATGGCCATGCGTGGCTGACGGGCGGCTCGGGCTTCTTCAGGCCTCGCAATTGGGGGCCCGAAGCCCACAAAGAGACGTTCTGGCGTGCTTGATGCTTGCCACGTTGGCTGCCACTTATTTTCCAACCTCAGCTGAGGACGGGTGTCTCAACATGCGATGCAAGCAGTCCTTGCCCTTCAATGCGGCGTTCGCCCACGTGGTGCACATGCCAGGGTTGAGCGCAGTTCCTTGAGCAGCACGCAAGGGCCAACGCTGCATTTCGCGATTGGCCGTCAACAGGTACATTAGTGGCACAAGTAGAAGATTAGAAGGGCAAAACATCGGCATCTGCCAGTGATTTGGCCAGCCGCTAGAGCTTGAGATTTGCCGAGTCCAAGCCAAGCCTGGGTAGCTAGATGCTTGCAAGAACCTTCCCTGCCAGAAGTAGGTGCTGGAGCAGTTGTACATTCTGGGGACATTTGGGTTGACATGGTTTCGGGCAGATCTTTGTCACCGGATTGTGCTTGGGACTCAGCTGGGCTATGCAGGCCACGCCTCGCAGGTTGTGGTCTCAACAAAGATGGACTCCGCGTACCGGACCTTGTGGGCCGTCACGGTGCTGCGGCGGAGACGCCGCTTTTGCTGCATTTCATGGGGGGCCAGGCTCAAGTGCCGGCGCCGGCCTCAAGTGCCGGTAGCGCAGCCGCATTTCCCTTGTTGCGAGGGCCTTTCATTCCAAAGCTGCGGTGCAGAAGGGTGCAGCCTCTTTGTTACTTTAAGAGGCGCACATGGCTTTTTCAGCTGGGGACAAGGGAAAGTTGAGCTGTCTCAGCTAAGTATCCAAATGATGTGGCGATGCTGTGTGTTGCGAGCCGCTTGAATGATTCGGTGGGGTGAGTTTCTGCTTGAACAATGAAATGCTCTGGCAAGAAAGCCTGAACGACAAACGAGCTTGGCTGCTGTGGACCCCCCATTGGCAGGATCACTGCGCTTCGAGCTGCGAGTGACGCAGCTGGCAGCCCGGTCGGAATTGCAGTATGCCTCAAAGGCAAGAAGTATGAACCCTGGTGTTTGCCCATGGCGCATGGTCTAGGACCATGAATTCACCCTAAGATACGGCTTTGAAAGGGCAGTGGCAACTACATGCGGCAAACAGTGGCAGTCTTGGCTTCTATGGCTGCGTGCATGGGCCCGCGTTGCCAGAGACTTTGAGGGACTGAAGCTGCTCTTCGTCTCTTATGCCTTGTTTCGCTTAGGTTGGTTTCGTCATCTTGGCTAGTGATTATCGCCCTGGTTGCCCACTACGGATGGCACGCCCAAGGGCTCTTCAAGTGTCAATCCACTTGACACTATTCATCAGTCCAATATTTATTGACTCACAACAACCTGTAGTCCATGGCAGTCGTTGTTAAGGATGTGGAAACCAACTACCGTGACCTGCCATGGCCACGAAATATCATCGTGGGCATGGCCGCTACAGAGAACAGACTCTTCATATTGCCGCTTGGCAGGGTTGTGAGCTGCGGAGCATGCCTTTGTCATGCTAGCACCGGATACTGATAGATTCTTAGATGCTACCGCTAGCCCGTTTCTTTTGCATGCATTGCAAACAGATATGTAAAAATAGGGTATGCGGTATGCGTGTGCGTTGCATAAAGTGCACCGGCAACTGGGAGCTATTTGCTCAAGATTATTTTTGTGCTGGGCTGGCTGTCATATGTTCAGGGCAGCGCCACAACCCAGCTGTATTGAGACCAAGCCGCTTGAGGTACAGCAGCTGTCGCCTGATTTGCTACCACCTGGCGCTCGAGCGGGAGAACGCCAGAGAACAGCGACCAGGGTCACCGCGTCCGGACCGCGATGTGGTTTTTGTTGCTGCGCACTGAGTCTTCCCGGGCAAATGTACAAACCCGCACTGCCCAGACGCGACCGCGTCCTGCCATCCAATTGCACAGTTGATATGCCAGGGCCTTTTGCTTGGCTTAGCACAAGATGTTTGTTCTGCTTAGTTTGGCCCTTTGAGTTGTCTACCAAGACATTCTGCCTGGCAACTTAGACCTTATTTGTGCAAGCTGCCAAGGCCTTAAGAGCTAATGCCAGCGCTGGCTGTCCCAAGTAGAGTTTCAAGCAGCCAGGCAGCCGGCGCGAGTTTCCCAGCAAGGCTTAACACATGCCAAAGAGATACTGTGAAAAAGTGCAGAGTTCGACGTCTCACTATAGTATGGGGGCTTGGTATGAAGCAGGTCTGACGGCTGAAGGACATGTTGTAAAAAATAATGGTTGTCAAAACCAGGGGCTACCTCTTCATGCCTTCAACGGCAGGCGAAACCAGGGAGGCAAATGAAGAAAATAAGTACCAACATACATAACATAGTTGAATAATCACGACCCCTTGACCCCCAAAGAGGCACCTCAGAATGGTGTGCATGTATGTGATGTTGGAGGCCCCGTTGATAGCAAGAACATGCTGAATGGCAATGCCCATTTGGCTCAAGATGCCCAGAAGATCAAATCCAGGGTTTGCGCTCGCCTGCCGGACTGGGGTTAATAAGGGTCCCGGTTTCTGGTTCGCGTTGTTTCTTTCCCTGTTGAGTGGTTATCAGCCGTAACTGCTTTTTGGGATTAGGCCCCCCCAGTCCGGTAGTCAGCGCACTTCGTGCATGGACCCGGCTCCGGCCTTCTCGGCCAGAGGACACAGGGGCAGGTGGGTATATCGTCGAAAGCTTTACTACGAAGCCTTCGACGAGCTCACCCGTTGGGCTCGGCGCGAGTTTCAGGTTGGTGTGGCAAGGGTCCCCTGGGAGGAAGCTTCGGACTTGCATCGGAGCTCCCTCCTGGCGTGGCAGGCCGATTTCACTGAAGAGAGCTATCGGCACCTGCGGGACATCTACCCCGACCTCTACGACGCCGTCATCGCCCGAGGCCGCCACCAACCAATCCCAATTCACCAACGGGCACAGGCCGCAGCTCAAGGCGCGGCAGGGCAGGCTCCAACACCAGCTCAGCCACAGCAACAGCCAAGCACCCCATCAAGTCCATCCTCCACCACAACTGTGTCCACCATCAAGGCTGCAGCTCCAAGCAGACACAGGCAGCAGCGGGGCCGGGAGATCAGGCTGCAGCTACAAGCGCAGCGGTTCCACCAAGAACCACAACTGAGAGCCCGTCCCGACCTTCATCCTATCCACCTGCAACTGCGGGTAGGGGAAGGTACGCTGCTGTGGGGAGGTCCTCATCGAGGAGGAAGAGGACACCGCCGGCAAGGCGACAACCTTCCCTTGTACCGGCGCGGAAGGCGTCAACCAGACGCCCGAGATCCAGAACTCCCCTCAGGGCTGCAGCTCCAAGCGCAGCGGGGTCGAGGACCAGGAGCTCCAGCTCTTCAACACCTCCGGCCCGTGCATCCCTGAGCAGCCGGCCGCTGATCTTGCGCCGGCCAACTGCGCCTACCCGACAACCCGGGTGGACAGCACAGGGATCTGGATCCTCCAGCACCGATACGAGGGTACCGCACGACCCACACGTCGGGCGACGCATCCGGTGCCCTCGGACGACCCGTACGACCTCCCAGACTTGTATTGGCACCATCCGCCAAGGGCAGACTCCTCTTCCGACCCTCCAAGAGGTCACGGGAGGGCCGAGCACTACGACCTCAGAAAGGTCGGCTCAAGCCGTTTACTCAGGTCGTGCGGCCTTCAACCCGGACAGGGTGCACGAGGCTGAGCAGGTGCGTCAAGCGGCCTGCACCTGCCGGGCGCGACTCATCCACAGCACCCGCAACAAAGACCGCTCGGATTGTTTTTGCCAAGCGGGAAAGCCAGGTCAAGGCGCCCCCACAAAGCGTACTCGACCAGGCAGCTGCGGATCGCGCTGCGTCGAAGGCCATTCCCCCACCACCGCTGAGAGCACCACCAGCACCCCCAGCACCAGTGCCAAGGGCTGCAGCTCAACGCGCAGCGTCGGTCCCGAAATCGATCAGTGGTGTGAGGCGGCCTGAGACACCGCCCAAAGCATTCAAGCGGGCGCCACCCTCACCTGCGCCGCAGGTGAGGTACAAGTCCCCACCGGCTCCCAAGTTGCCGGTGAAGCAGCCGCCCACTGCAGCTGCCAAGGGCCCCGTCCCTCCCGGGACGGCATTCAGTGCGCCTCAGCAGGAGGCACGAGACCCGCTGGTCATCGCCCTCGACTGGCATAATACGCTTGACATTGGCGTCGAGCCCGACGGTGCGCCCAAGGATTTGCTTTTGCGTACAGTATCCAAACTGTGTAGAAGTCATCATCCGATCCAGTTTCGCATCATCAGTTATTGCCAGGCCCGGGACACCCGGGAAAGCCCCTCCGACTTGCCACCCACTTTTCCGAGGTGTGCAACAACGCCATTGACGGCTTGGGCACACTCCCGTTCGGAGACGTGGTCTTGACCTGGAAACGGGTCGGAACATCTGGCAAGGCTGCAGCTTTAGCGCAGCTCGGGGCGTGCGCCATCGTGGACGACAACAACTCCATCCTCAAGGAGTGTCGCACTGCAGGAGCCCTCGGCGTAGGTGTCGATCGGCGAGACGCCAACAGGGCGCTCTACGACGCGCTGGACGAGCTCAACGAATACCTCGCTCAGCACCGACGCCTTCTCCGCCCTGCCAGGGTACTCGATCAAAACGAGTATCTCGAGGAGATTCGAGGAGGTTGGCCGCCGCCCGCAATCTGCAAGGGGCGGCCGAGGACTTTTTCGTTGACCTGGCACTGCCGGAGGCTGCAGCTCAAGCGCGGCAAGTGCACCGGTTTCCAACAGCGGTTGTAACATAAGTTTTCCAAAGGCCGCAGCTTAAAGCGCGGTGTGTCAGCAGACGTGAGCCTTACCTCGTGTGAAAGGTGCATCCGACATGGGATCAGGGATTTCCCCACCTTCGGATGATAGGTCAGGAGAATCTAATGAGGAAGACCCTGAACTAGGTGATATTTCGGTACCCGCAATGTCCGTAGTTCCTGTAGGTTCCAGGGCATCCTCATCAAGAGATAATCGTGGTCGTGATCGCAACACAACTCCTCCCCGTAGGACTCCCATAGTAGAGGAACCTGATTCAGACTCTACAGCAACTCCCCTTGTGTATAGCCCTCAAGTGCCAGCACCCGACCCATCTAATAACATGAGTGCTGCCGCGTTTGTGGCCGGATCGGCAGTGCAACGTGCGCATCAAGCTTCGCTCATCGCTGATCAGGCTGCCAATGTTGCCCTTCACGAGCATTGAGCCGCGGACCAGGCCAGACAAAGGCTAGGGGAGGTTGCCGCTGTTGCGCAACAAAGGGAGCAGACCTTTAGACAACAGGCAACTGAACTGACATACCAAGCCCAGCAAGCAGTCGAACAAGCCCGTGCTCAGACAGCATTAGCTGAACAAGCTGCACAGCATTCTCAACAGGAAGCTCAAGGCCATGTTCAACAGGGGCCGCTGAAGCCGAAGTGTCAAGGTTGAGACGGGAGGCTATTCAAGAAATTTCCTCACGGGAACAGAAGATCCTCCAGCAAAGCAAAGTGATAGATACATTAGGGAGAGAACCTTTTGTTGTCGCAACGCCTTGCTGACCTAGAAAGGGCTGTCGCATCCATGGCACAAAATGTTCCGGTACCTCCGGATGAAAGTCATGAAAGTCAAAATCCTACGGATCCCGGGTCATCGGGGCTAAATGACGTTGGACGTGACCTTCAGGTTGGATCACAGGCTCCCCAAGTTCAAGGGCCGGGTGATGCCACACGTGAGCAGTGTCCCCCGAAGGATGCAGCTCTAGGCGCATCGGGAAGTTCAAGTAGCGACCCTAAGGTAGCGCCACGTGCCCCTCTTGGTTTCCCAAAATCCTTCGCTCCCCCACAGCCCGACATCAAGTCAGATGCCAAGCGTGTGCAAATCCAGGATGGTGATCCACGTGCACAACCACAAGGACCACCGGACGTCGCTCGGACTCAGGATGTAAGGGGACCTGTAGACGTACAGGCACAAATGTCCTATTTAACTGAGCTGGTCCATCAACTTTCAAAGTTAGTTGAGGCCCAGGTAGGGGTATCAGGGGCTTCGCCCCCGATCGCATCGGCTCAGGCACCCCCGCCTTCCGTAGCTGTCCAGCCACAACTGCTGTCCCCACGCTTAGGCTAACAAGTGCAAGTACAAGTCAAGTGGCTCAATTCCCATCCTCCCCACTCGCACCTTCGGAGGCAAGCTCCGACACATCCTCAGAATCCGGTGACGAGGGTAACACTCCCTCATGCCGAGTCTGTGGTGGCCCGCATGATGATACCGCCTGCCCCTCTCTTTCCATGAGTGGGGGGCAGGGACAAGGTACTCAAGCAGCAGATGCAAGTGGTGGGGATGCTGCTACAAGCGCATCAGATCCGGCCTCACATGAGGAAACCGTGGTTCGCATAAAGGACCTTAAGGATTTAGTGCTTCCGCTTCCGCCAGAGAACGCCGGCCAGGCGCGTGGCTATGTGAATCAAGTCCTCATGGCCATTGGACGTCTACAAAAGACGACCGGTGACGAGCTCTATCTCTGGGCTCAGGATTGCCTGACCTCATCCGAGGAACAACTCAGGGCAGATGCACGTTTCCCACGCACAACCCGCGAGATAGCCGCCAAGCTGTTGAAGACCTGTCGCAAAGGCAAGTTTGGGTTGTTGTTCCAAAACATGGTGGAGCACGAACGGAACACCGCAGGTACAATGCCCAATGGGCGCGTGATGTTGCGTTCGATCTTCAAGCACTTTCAACTGGAGCGTGATCGGATCGGCATCCTTGGAGAACGCAATCTTCTAGGTTTGAAACTTGCCGGCCAATCAGTAGCGGACATAGAGGCGTTCCGTGAGAAGTACAACTATATTCTCCGTGCAATACCTCTTGATGAGCTCCCCAAGGAAAGAACGCTTTTCAATCATCTCATTGACGAGTTTGAGAAGTGCCAAGTAATGAAGCATCGCGTTGAGAAGGCCCGTGAGTCCGCCCATGATAGTCACCGCCG